ACACGTAAACATAGAGACCCATAGACATATAGAGACCCATAGACATACAGAGACCCATCGAGACCTACACTCATAGAAACCCACCCATAGAGACACACAGAGACCCATAGACATACAGAGACCCATGGAGACCTACACTCATAGAAACCCACCCATAGAGACACGTAAACATAGAGACCCATAGACATACAGAGACCCATCGAGACCTACACTCATAGAAACCCACCCATAGAGACACACAGAGACCCATAGACATACAGAGACCCATCGAGACCTACGCTCATAGAAACCCACCCATAGAGACACACAGAGACCCATAGACATACAGAGACCCATCGAGACCTACACTCATAGAAACCCACCCATAGAGACACACAGAGACCCATAGACATACAGAGACCCATGGAGACCTACACTCATAGAAACCCACCCATAGAGACACGTAAACATAGAGACCCATAGACATACAGAGACCCATCGAGACCTACACTCATAGAAACCCACCCATAGAGACACACAGAGACCCATAGACATACAGAGACCCATCGAGACCTACGCTCATAGAAACCCACCCATAGAGACACACAGAGACCCATAGACATACAGAGACCCATCGAGACCTACACTCATAGAAACCCACCCATAGAGACACACAGAAACCCATAGACATAGAGACCTCTACACTTGTTAACTATTTTAAACCAGGTAAGGTCCCAACTACTGAGTCGCTGTAGCTTCATATTCAGGACCGACCTGGAGGACATCACAAATGATAGTTTTCAACCAAGTTGCGGCTTAGCATCAGCATCATCATCGCGAGGAAATTCAGCGCAGCAGCAGCTGTCAAATACTCTAAAGGCGTGGATTCTAGACGGAGGACACGGAGACAAAGCCACACAGTGACCACCACAGAGAGACACAGACTCCAAATCTACAGCAGCAGCAGGCATCGTCAGGGTCGGGATCGAACCGACGACCTCCTGCACACCAGGTGAGGTAGTCAACATCTCCTAGCCACCGTGATGATGTTGAGAGAGAGAGACACAGACTCCAAACATACAGCAGCAGCAGGGTCGGGATTGAACCCACGACCTCCTGTATACCAGGCGAGGTAGTCAACATCTCCTAGCCACTGTGATGATGATGATGAGAGACACAGACCTCCTGTACACCAGGCGAGGTAGTCAACATCTCATAGCCACTGTGATGATGATGAGAGACACAGACCTCCTGTACACCAGGCGAGGTAGTCAACATCTCATAGCCACTGTGATGATGATGATGATGAGAGACACAGACCTCCTGTACACCAGGCGAGGTAGTCAACATCTCATAGCCACTGTGATGATGATGATGAGAGACACAGACCTCCTGTACACCAGGCGAGGTAGTTAACATCTCAGCCACTGTGATGATGATGATGATGAGAGAGAGACACAGACCTTCTGTACACCTGGCGAGGTAGTCAACATCTCATAGCCACTGTGATGATGATGAGAGAGAGACATAGACCTCCTGTACACCAGGCGAGGTAGTCAACATCTCATAGCCACTGTGATGATGATGATGAGAGAGACACAGACCTCCTGTACACTAGGCGAGGCAGTCAACATCTCATAGCCACTGTGATGATGATGATGAGAGAGACACAGACCTCCTGTACACCAGGCGAGGTAGTCAACATCTCAAAGCCACTGTGATGATGATGAGAGAGACAGACCTCCTGTGCAACAGGCGAGGTAGTCAACATCTCAAAGCCACTGTGATGATGATGAGAGAGAGACAGACCTCCTGTACACCAGGCGAGGTAGTCAACATCTCATAGCCACTGTGATGATGATGAGAGAGAGACACAGACCTCCTGTACACCAGGCGAGGTAGTCAACATCTCATAGACACTGTGATGATGATGAGAGAGACACAGACCTCCTGTACACCAGGCGAGGTAGTCAACATCTCAGCCACTGTGATGATGAGAGAGACACAGACCTCCTGTACACCAGGCGAGGTAGTCAACATCTCATAGCCACTGTGATGATGATGAGAGACACAGACCTCCTGTAGACCAGACGAGGTAGTTAACATCTCAGCCACTGTGATGATGATGAGAGAGACACAGACCTCCTGTACACCAGGCGAGGTAGTCAACATCTCAGCCACCGTGATGATGATGATGAGAGAGAGAGACACAGACCTCCTGTACACCTGGCGAGGTAGTCAACATCTCATAGCCACTGTGATGATGATGAGAGACACAGACCTCCTGTACACCAAGCGAGGTAGTTAACATCTCAGCCACTGTGATGATGATGATGATGAGAGAGAGAGACACAGACCTCCTGTATACCAGGCGAGGTAGTCAACATCTCATAGCCACTGTGATGATGATGATGAGAGAGACACAGACCTCCTGTACACCAGGCGAGGTAGTCAACATCTCAAAGCCACTGTGATGATGATGAGAGAGACAGACCTCCTGTACACCAGGCGAGGTAGTCAACATCTCAGCCACTGTGATGATGAGAGAGAGACACAGACCTCCTGTACACCAGGCGAGGTAGTCAACATCTCATAGCCACTGTGATGATGAGAGAGAGACACAGACCTCCTGTACACCAGGCGAGGTAGTCAACATCTCAAAGCCACTGTGATGATGATGAGAGAGACAGACCTCCTGTACACCAGGCGAGGTAGTCAACATCTCAGCCACTGTGATGATGAGAGAGAGACACAGACCTCCTGTACACCAGGCGAGGTAGTCAACATCTCAGCCACTGTGATGATGATGAGAGAGAGACACAGACCTCCTGTACACCAGGCGAGGTAGTCAACATCTCAGCCACTGTGATGATGATGATGAGAGACACAGACCTCCTGTACACCAGGCGAGGTAGTCAACATCTCATAGCCACTGTGATGATGATGATGAGAGACACAGACCTCCTGTACACCAGGCGAGGTAGTCAACATCTCATAGCCACTGTGATGATGATGATGAGAGACACAGACCTCCTGTACACCAGGCGAGGTAGTCAACATCTCATAGCCACTGTGATGATGAGAGAGAGACACAGACCTCCTGTACACCAGGCGACGTAGTCAACATCTCATAGCCACTGTGATGATGATGAGAGACACAGACCTCCTGTACACCTGGCGAGGTAGTCAACATCTCATAGCCACTGTGATGATGATGAGAGAGACACAGACCTCCTGTACACCAGGCGAGGTAGTCAACATCTCATAGCCACCGTGATGATGATGAGAGAGAGACACAGACCTCCTGTACACCAGGCGAGGTAGTCAACATCTCAAAGCCACTGTGATGATGATGAGAGAGAGACATAGACCTCCTGTACACCAGGCGAGGTAGTCAACATCTCATAGCCACTGTGATGATGATGAGAGAGACACAGACCTCCTGTACACCAGGCGAGGTAGTCAACATCTCATAGCCACCGTGATGATGATGAGAGAGAGACACAGACCTCCTGTACACCGGGCGAGGTAGTCAACATCTCAGCCACTGTGATGATGATGATGAGAGAGAGACACAGACCTCCTGTACACCAGGCGAGGTAGTCAACATCTCAGCCACTGTGATGATGATGATGAGAGAGACACAGACCTCCTGTACACCAGGCGAGGTAGTCAACATCTCCTACCTAGTCCACCGCTCCCCACAAATTAAACAAACACACACACACATACAGACGTCAGACAGAAAAAAAAATCACAAAGCACTCGCTTACGCGTTGTGCAACAGCCACAATTCACTCTCGGCGAGTGCCCATCGTACATCGGCGATGACAGAAAGAGCTTCACAGCTCTCCGGATTTATCCACGCTGCGCGGTCTGCCCGCACCAAGATGGCCGCCGTCGCCTCCAGCCCGGCGTGACGTCACGCGGCGCCATTGTTCCCCTGCCCTTGACAGCCGCGATCGGCGGCGACGAGATAATCAATAATGTTAATATTATTTGTTATAATAATAATTGTTGTTAATATTATTTGTTATGATAATCATTGTTAATAGTATTGTTATTGTTATAATCATTGTTAATATTTTTGTTGTTATAATAAATGTTAAAATTATTATTCACCACCCCCTCCACCCTCACCACCACCCCCTCACCACCACCCTCACCACCCTCACCCTCACCACCACCCCCCTCACCCTCACCACCCCCTCACCCTCACCACCCCCTCACCACCCCCCTCACCACCACCCTCACCCTCACCACCACCCTCACCACCCCCTCACCCTCACCACCCCCTCACCCTCACCACCCCCCTCACCCTCACCACCCCCCTCACCCTCACCACCCCCCTCACCCTCACCACCCCCTCACCCTCACCACCCCCCCTCACCCTCACCACCCCCTCACCCTCACCACCCCCCTCACCCTCACCACCACCCTCACCACCACCCCCCTCACCCTCACCACCACCCCCCTCACCACCCCCCTCACCACCCTCACCACCACCCTCACCACCACCCACACCACCACCCCCCACACCCTCACCACCACCCTCACCACCCCCCTCACCACCACCCCCCTCACCACCACCCCCCTCACCACCACCCCCCTCACCACCACCCCCCTCACCCTCACCACCACCCTCACCACCACCCCCCTCACCCTCACCACCACCCCCCTCACCCTCACCACCACCCTCACCACCCCTCACCACCACTCCCCTCACCCTCACCACCACCACCACCCTCACCACCACCCCCCTCACCACCACCCCCCTCACCCCCACCACCACCCTCACCACCCCTCACCACCACTCCCCTCACCCTCACCACCCCCCTCACCCTCACCACCCCCCTCACCACCCCCCTCACCCTCACCACCCCCCTCACCACCACCCCCCTCACCACCACCCCCCTCACCCTCACCACCCCCCTCACCCTCACCACCCCCCTCACCCTCACCACCACCCCCCTCACCCTCACCACCACCCTCACCCTCACCACCCCCCACCCCCAGCTCGCCTCACGGTCGTCGTGAAGGCTCCGAGCGGCGCGAGGCGGCCCCACGGGGCCCCCCTCAGTAGCAGCGGCCGCAGCAGAGCCGAGGACGCCATCGCTGGGACACTCGGGGGGGAGGTGGAGACCTTGGACGGGGCGGGGCTTAGCGAGGAAGGGAGGGGCCTACGGAGGAAAGGGCGGGGCTTGGAACGGAAAAGGCGGGGCTTGTGAAGAAAAAAGGCGGGGCTTGGATGGCAGCAGGAGGGGCTTTTCATAAGTAAAGAGGCGGGGCTTGGAACGGAAAAGGCGGGGCTTGTGAAGAAAAAAGGCGGGGCTTGTGAAGAAAAAAGGCGGGGCTTGGATGGCAGCAGGAGGGACTTTTTATAAGTAAAGAGGCGGGGTTTTTAAAGTAAAAAGGGCGGGGTTTGGAACGGAAAAGGCGGGGCTTGTGAAGAAAAAAGGCGGGGCTTGTGAAGAAAAAAGGCGGGGCTTGGATGGCAGCAGGAGGGGCTTTTTATAAGTAAAGAGGCGGGGTTTTTAAAGTTAAAAGGGCGGGGCTTTTAAAGTAAAAAGGGCGGGGCTTGGAACGGAAAAGGCGGGGCTTGTGAAGAAAAAAGGCGGGGCTTGTGAAGAAAAAAGGCGGGGCTTGGATGGCAGCAGGAGGGACTTTTTATAAGTAAAGAGGCGGGGTTTTTAAAGTTAAAAGGGCGGGGCTTTTAAAGTAAAAAGGGCGGGGCTTGGAACGGAAAAGGCGGGGCTTGTGAAGAAAAAAGGCGGGGCTTGTGAAGAAAAAAGGCGGGGCTTGGATGGCAGCAGGAGGGACTTTTTATAAGTAAAGAGGCGGGGTTTTTAAAGTAAAGAGGCGGGGCTTTTAAAGTAAAAAAAGGGCGGGGCTTGGAACGGAAAAGGCGGGGCTTGTAATGGGAAAAAAAGGCGGGGCTTGTGAGGGAAAAGGCGGGGCTTGGATGGCAGCGGGCGAGGCTTGTTAAGGAAAAGGGCGGGGCTTGTAGAGTAAAAGGCGGGGCTTGTAAAGTGAAAGGCGGGGCTTGTAAAGGAAAACGCGGGGCTTGAATTCATAATGTGGCGCCTGAGTGTTAGTGGGCGGGGCTTGGATGGCAAGCAGGCGGAGCTTAGATAATATTGGGCGGGGCTTGCGGCACGTCGCGTTGACGAATGGGCGGCAGTTTAACGGGGTAGGTGGGCGTGGTTTAAGTGGCAGTGGGCGTGGGGCTTAGTGATGAGGGGCGGGGTTTAGTATTAAGGGGCGGGTAATTGTGCGGGGGTGAAAGTGGGGCGGGGTTTAATGACATTGGGCGGGGCTTGGGAGGCAGTGGGCGGGGATTCTGTGGCCATCTGAGAGCTCGAGGGAGGGGGGGAATCTCATTGCAAGTGTTGGGTGGGTGGGTTGGTGAGTTGGTGGGTGGGTGGGTTGGTGGGTGGATGGGTGGGTGGATGGGTGGGTGAGTGGGTTGGTGAGTGGGTGGATGGGTGGGTGGATGGGTGGGTGAGTGGGTTGGTGAGTGGGTGGGTTGGTGGGTGGGTGGGTTGGTGAGTTGGTGAGTGGGTGGGTTGGTGGGTGGATGGGTGGATGGGTTGGTGGGTGGATGGGTGGGTGAGTGGGTTGGTGAGTGGGTGGGTTGGTGGGTGGGTTGGTGAGTGAGTGGGTTGGTGGGTGGATGGGTGGGTGAGTGGGTTGGTGAGTGGGTGGGTTGGTGGGTGGGTGGGTGGGTTGGTGAGTTGGTGAGTGGGTGGGTTGGTGGGTGGATGGGTGGGTGAGTGAGTGGGTTGGTGAGTGGGTGGGTTGGTGGGTGGGTGGGTTGGTGAGTTGGTGAGTGGGTGGGTTGGTGGGTGGATGGGTGGGTGAGTGAGTGGGTTGGTGAGTGGGTGGGTTGGTGGGTGGGTGGGTTGGTGAGTTGGTGAGTGAGTGGGTTGGTGGGTGGATGGGTGGGTGAGTGAGTGGGTTGGTGAGTGGGTGGGTTGGTGGGTGGGTGGGTGAGTTGGTGGATGGGTGGGGTGAGTGGGTGGGTGGGCTGGTGGGTGGGTGGATGGGTGGGTAAGTGGGTGGGTTGGTGGGTGGGTGGGTGGGCGAGTTGGTGGATGGTGGGTTGAGTGGGTGAGTGTGTAGGTGAGTGGGTGGGTTGGTGGGTGGGAGAGTGGGTGGGTTGGTGGGTGGGTGAGTAGGTGGATGGGTGAGTGGGTGGGTTGGTGGGTGGGTGGTTTGGTGGGTTGAGTGGGTGTGTGCGTTGGTGGGTGAGTGGGTGGGTTGGTGGGTGGGTGAGTGGGTGGGTTGCTGGGTGGGTGAGTGGGTGGGTGGGTGGGTTGGTGAGTTGGTGAGTGGGTGGGTTGGTGGGTGGATGGGTGGGTGAGTGGGTTGGTGAGTGGGTGGGTTGGTGGGTGGGTGGGTTGGTGAGTTGGTGAGTGGGTGGGTTGGTGGGTGGATGGGTTGGTGGGTGGATGGGTGGGTGAGTGGGTGGGTTGGTGGGTGGGTGGGTTGGTGAATTGGTGAGTGGGTGGGTTGGTGGGTGGATGGGTGGGTGAGTGAGTGGGTTGGTGAGTGGGTGGATAAGTGGGTGGGTTGGTGGGTTGGTGGGTGGGTGAGTAGGTGGCTTGGTGGGTGGGTGGTTTGGTGGGTTGGGTGGGTGAGTGTGTGGGTGAGTGGGTGCGTTGGTGGGTGAGTGGGTGGGTTGGTGGGTGGGTGAGTGGGTGGGTGGGTTGGTGGGTGAGTGGGTGGGTTGGTGGGTGGGTGGGTGAGTGGGTGAGTGGGTGGATTAGTGGGTGGGTTGGTGGGTGGGTGGGTAGGTGGGTGGGTTAGTGGGTTGGTGGGTGAGTGGGTGGGTTAGTGGGTGGGTTGGTGGGTTGGTGAGTGGGTGGGTTTGTGTGTGGGTGGGTTGGTGGGTGGGTGAGTGGGTGGGTTGGTGGGTGGGTGAGTGGGTGGGTTGGTGGGTGGGTGGGTTGGTGGGTGGGTGTTTGAGTGGGTTGGTGGGTGAATGGGTGGGTGGGTGAGTGGGTGAGTTAGTGGGTGGGTTGGTGGGTGGGTGAGTGGGTGGGTGGGCGGGTGAGTGGGTGGGTAGGTGAGTGGGTGGGTAGGTGAGTGGGTGGGTTAGTGGGTGGGTGGGTTTGTGGGTGGGTGAGTGGGTTGGTGCGTGAGTGAGTGGGTTGTTGGGTGAGTGGGTGGGTTGGTGTGTGGGTGGGTTGGTGGGTGAGTGAGTGTGTTGGTGGGTGAGTGGGTGGGTTAGTGGGTGGGGTGAGTGAGTGAGTGAGTGGGTGGGGGGGTGCGTGTGTGGGTGGGTGAGTGGGTGGATGAGTGGGTGGGTGGGTGAGTGGATGCATGGGTGGGTGAGTGCATGAGTGGGTGAGTGGGTGGGTGGGTGAGTGGGTGGGTTGGTGAGTGAGTGGGTGGGTGAGTGAGTGGGTGGGTGAGTATGTGGATGGGTGAGTGGGTGGATGAGTGGGTGAAAAGGGTGGGTGGGTGAGTGGGTGGATGGGTGGGTGAGTGGATGAGTGGGTGAGTGGGTGGGTGAGTGAATGGGTGGGTGAGTGAATGGGTGGGTGTGGTGAGTGGGTGGGTGAGTGAATGGGTGGATGAATAGGTGAGTGAGTGGGTGAATTACTGGGTGAATCGGTGAGTGAGTCGGTAAGTGGGTGGGTGGGTGAGTGAGTGGGTGAGCGGGTGGGTGGATGAGTGAGTGGGTGGGTGGGTGGGTGAGAGGGTGGGTGAGTGAGTGTGTGGATGGGTGGAAGGGTGAGTGGGTGGGTAGGTGGGTCGGTGAGTGAGTGGGTGGGTGAGTGAGTGGGTGGGTGAGTGACTGGGTGAGTGGGTGGGTGAGTGAGTGAGTGGGTGAGTGAGTGAGTGGGTGGGTGAGTGAGTGGGTGGGTGAGTGAGTGGGTGAGTGAGTGGGTGGGTGAGTGGGTGGGTGGGTGAGTGGGTGGGTGACTGGGTGAGTGAGTGAGTGGGTGGGTGAGTGAGTGAGTGGGTGAGTGGGTGAGTGAGTGAGTGGATGACTGAGTGAGTGACTGGGTGAGTGAGTGAGTAAGTGAGTGGCTGGGTGAGTGAGTGAGTGGGTGAGTGGCTGGGTGAGTGAGTGAGTGGGTGAGTGAGTGGATGACTGAGTGGGTGACTGGGTGAGTGAGTGGGTGAGTGGCTGGGTGAGTGAGTGAGTGAGTGGCTGGGTGGGTGAGTGAGTGGGTGACTGAGTGCGCGAATGATACGGCTGTGGACTGCAATGCCATTGCAGAGTTGCAGGCTTTGCAACCAATATCCTTGGCAGCGAAGGACATTATTTTTGCAGGTGATTGGAGCATCCACGCGTCTATGGACATATCCTCCGGGCCCGCCACTAGGGGACGCTTTAACGCCACCAATTTGAGTCACACATTTGTGACGATGTGTGGGGGGGGAAGGGGGGGGCGGGGTTTGAGAAATGTGACGTCACATCAAAATGCGCAAACTTTGAACAAATATAGAATTTGTTATAACAGCAACACTCCTACAGCATCAGGGTGCTGCGCCACATTAAAATACGCGCTTGCAATGACAACAATAGTTTAAAGCGATTTGAAGGGTGTTTTATTTTCAAAATGGAAATATGGTTTTGTTTTGGGGGGGGCGGAGCTTTGTGACGTCATATTTGAGGGAGGGGGGGGCGGTCTGGCTTTTTGTGACGTCGTGTGACGTGGTTGGGCGGGGGTCAACAATCGTCAAAAAATCGCGTGACGTCATTTATGGACGGCCCCATAGCGACACCCTGGCTCTCACAAATGGGAGCAAGCTCAACCAAGAGGCTTTTCACCGTCATCCCCTCAAATATGACGTCACAAAGCTCTGCCCCCCCTCCCCCCCTAAAATATGACGTCACAAAAAGTCAGACTCCCCCCCCCCTCAAACATGACGTCACAAAAAGTCAGACTCCCCCCCCCTCAAATATGACGTCACAAAAAGTCAGACCCCTCCTAAAATATGACGTCTCAAAAATTCAAACCCCCCTCCCCTAAAATATGACGTCACAAAAAGTCAGACCCCCCCCTAAAATATGACGCCACAAAAAGTCAGACTCTCCCCTTTTCAAACATGACGTCACAAAAAATCAGACTCCCCCCCCCCTCAAATATGACGTCACAAAGCTCTACCCCCCATGCCCTCGAAAAAAATAAAACATTTTTCAAATCTCTTTAAACTATT